TCTCTGCCCCTCCCCTGTTCATGCTCTGTCTCTCTCTGTCTCAAAAATAAATAAACGTTAAAAAAAAAAAATTTTTTTTTAAAAATAAAAAATAAATAAATAAATAAAAACATCTTGGATCTTGTATTTTTACCACAGGACACTATCTATAATGGTTTCTTTCCAGTAATGGTTAAGACCACAGACTTCAAAGTTAGGACTTTAGGATTTGAATTCCTGCTCTGCCATTCACCAGCTGATCTTGTACAAGTTATTTATCCTCTTGGAACCTCAGTCTTTTCATCTATAAAATGGAGATAATAATAGTATTTATTTCTTGGGATGAGGAGGGGACAACATAGAGTTCTTAGCACTGTGCTTATTAAAGCTGTTAAGTACAGTGCTTAGCTTAGTACATATTAATTATTGGTTTATTATTTTGACAAATATTTCACAGTGTCTTTGTAGAAATCACCTAAGTGTGTCTAGTGTTCAAAAAAAATTCAATGATGCAATAATTATTATTTTTTTAATGTTTCTATTTATTTTTGAGACAGAGAGAGACAGAGCATGAGCAGGGGAGGGGCAGAGAGAGAGGGAGACACAGAATCTGAAGCAGACTCCAGGCTCTGAGCTGTCAGCACAGAGCCTGATGCGGGGCTCGAACTCACAGGCTGTGAGATCATGACCTGAGCTGAAGTCGGACGCTTAACCAACTGAGCCACCCAGGTGCCCCCAATGATGCAATTATTAACAGATGAAATAATTGCTTGGGGCTCTGCTATTTCTCACCAATCATGCTAGTTTATAATGATGTCATAAGACTATCACACTTGAATAACTTAGTTGATTTTCATTCTCAGCATTTTTTAAAAAGTTGTTTTGTTTGTTTAATCTTTACACCAAACATGGGACTCGAACTTATGACCTCAAGATCAAAAGTTCCATGCTCTTCTGACTGAGCCAGCCAGGCACGCCGATTTTCAGCATTTATTATCATCCTGAAACTACCTTTTATTAACTACATTAACTAAATTTTTACTTTAGTTGAGATATATATATATATTTATATATATATTTATATAAATATATATACATATATTTGAAGAGAAAACTTAGAAACAGTCTAAAGTCTTCAAGTGCTTGGGATATGGCTACCTGTTCCCCTTCCCATGGAAGTCAGAAGCAAAAGGTAAAAATACTTAAATGAAAATATTTTAGTCCCAAACAATACCTTATAAATCTTTAGTTTCAACATACTGCATGGAATTATGTAATTAGGTGGCCAAAAATTCTTTCTTCCTTTAAAACTAGCAGGGACATAAAACTGTACCTCCTTTCATCGTCTTTATGTTGTTTTATGGCATCCTTTTCCTCCCATATTTCCTGGTTCAAGACTTGTCATCATTGAGTATTGTACCCTCCCCCCCAATCTGTCAACTTCACTTCCTTATGCCTGTCCAGTCTGTTCTTCCTATCTGTTCTCAATACTGCCACCTTTGCCTCCTGATACAATTTCACCATCTCCAATTCATTTCATGTATTTCCAGGGAAAGATGCTTCTGAGAAATCTTCAGGGACTCCTTATCGCCTCTGGAGTGAAGTCTATACACCAAGCAAGGCTTTCCAGGACTCCACCCATCTTCCATTACCCACTTCAAAATGCTTATAGTCCGGCCAACCTGTGCTCCTCTACTTCTGTATCTACAATTCTTACCAACTAATTTCCTCCACTTTTTATTTGACATGCCTATCTCCTTTTTGTCAGCTTTCCCATTTCACAGATGAAGAAACTGACCTCTAGAGAGGTGAAGGGACTATGACAATGTCTGTGGTGGAAAATGAATCCAAGTTTCTCAGATTCAGATTCGTTACGCCTATCGTTTTTTGGCCTTTTGGCTAAGATCAAGGGCGGACCCTTTATTCCTAAACACTTCAGTGTGTATCTCTTAAGAACAAGGATATTCTCTTATATGAGCACAGTACAACGATTAAACTCAGGAAATTTTGCATTGATGTAGTGCCATCATATATTATACAGGCCACAGTTCAAATTTTACCAACTATCCTTCATAGTGAATTTTTCCCAGTCCAGAATCCCATCCCGAATCAAACCTTGTCTTCGTTTCTCATATTTCTTCAATATTCCTTAACCTGGACTAGTTCCTTTGCCTTGCTTTATTTTCAAGACATTGATAGTTTTTAAAGAGTACAGGCTAGTTGTTGTAAAATTCCCCTCAGTGTGGGTTATTCTGAGTGTTACCTCATGATTAGATTCAGATTATGGATTTCCAGCAGGGATACTACATAAATGAAGTTGTGTACTTCTTACTGCATCACATCACAGGGCACACCACAACTGTCTCATTACTGGCAATATTCAACTTTGATCACTTGGGTATGGTGGTGTCTGGGTCCCTGTAACGTTACTTTTTTTCCCCTTTGTGATCAATAAGAATCTGTGGGGACATATTCTAAGACTGTGTAAATAAGCTCCTCCCTGTCCCCCCAATCAAGTTTTCACCCAGGTGGTTTTAACATTCACTTATGTTTAATCACAATTATCATTATGAATAGTTGTAAAATGTTGATTTTTCTAACTCTGTTGCTCCTTCTACATTACGTGGCATTGTACTGAAGAATTTTCCTTTCTTCCTTATTACTTTCCTTATTACTTTTTAATCAGGGGGAAAAAAGCTTAAAAAAAAAAAAAAAAGAACTGGATACCATTTTAACTGGAATGTAGTTAGCTCCCATTCGCCTTCGGTGTGCTGGGCTCACTTCTCTGTGACATGGACCTTCACTCCTGGACCTACAGCGAGCTCTCTCAGCCTTGTGGGTGGTGGTCTGGGCCACAGCCTTGCAGACGGTGGACTACCACCACGCAAATTTAAAGCCCACTTACTCCTCTGTGGTGTTGCTGGTGGTTCAAACTATTCTAAAATGACACTCCAAGTCTCTATTGCTAGGGAGTGAAGTGCTACCTTTATGCTTAACCTGTGACTCACAAAAATATTTATTCCAATGTTTCCCAAACTAAATGTGCTTTAGAATCACCTGAAAGCTTAAAGTGTAGATTGCTGGGGTCTGGCCCCCAGAGACTCGGATTTAGTAGATCTGGATTAAGGCCCAGGAATCAACACTCGAACTTTGAGAACACAATCTCCAAAATAATGAAGGGCAAACCTCCCTTCCTTGAAAAGTTGCCGCCACTGGCAACTTCTAAGGTGCCCTCTCAGGAAAAGCCGAGTGAAACAAGGCGTTCATCCTTCCTCGCCCCACCGGCCTTCAGAAACCTACATTCGGTTGATGCCCTTCGGGTGCGGGGATCCCAGGTGCTGCGGTGAAGGCGGAGATCTCCCTAACCCGCTCTCTGTGGGCAGGGCCTGCCGGCTGGAGCGCAAGAAGGCGGGAGGGGGCGGGTCCCCCTCGGTGCCCGCCGGGCCGTGGCCAGGGAGCCCCACCCCTCCCCTGAACCCCCTCCCCCCAGCGCTCGGACCGGGTGCTTAGTCACCGTGAGGCTGCGCTTGCCCGGGGCGCGGCAACCCCCCTTACCCGGGACCGCCCGCGGGGCACCCCCGTCGTGCACTTCCGCGTGCATGGCCCTGCTGCCCCGGTCCCTGAGCGCGAGCGCGGGGCCGAGCTGGCGGCGGGCGGCGCGCGCCTTCCTCCCCCGCTTTCCGCTGCCTGAGCCGCGGCCCGCCCGCGCCCTCTCCCGCGCCATGGCGTGCAGGCAGGAGCCGCAGCCGCAGCGCCCGCCGCCCGCCGCAGACGTCGTGGCCTCGTACGACTACCTGGTGATCGGGGGCGGCTCGGGCGGGCTGGCCAGCGCGCGCAGGGCGGCCGAGCTGGGCGCCAGGGCCGCCGTGGTGGAGAGCCACAAGCTGGGCGGCACTTGCGTGAGTACGGGGTCCCTGCCCACGCGTCTGCTGGCGCCTCTGCGTCCGCAGCGCCGCGTCCCGCAGCCCGGCTTTCTCGTCGCTGTGCTGGGGCAGCCTGTCCTCTTTCCTGGTGCTGTCCGTCCGTCCGGAGATGGGTCCCCAGCGCCGCGCTCTCCGCTTTCCCACCCGCATCTGAGGTCAGGGTCCCAGCAGGTTTAAAGGAGAAAAGTGTAATAGGGCTCCCTTGCACCTCCCACAGCTGAGCCTAGGTCTGTTCCTGCCCAGGTGCAGTGTTAACCGTAGGTAGTTACTCCTCAAGGTGGAAGAGTATTGTATTCTTGCAGCTGGCTGGGGACTGGGACTGGGGATATACCCTTGAGGAATGCAGATCCTGATCCTCTCCTTTCAGCTTCAGGGGCAAAATGATTTACCGCACTTTCGAATCACCTAAGGAGTTGGAAGAATTCTGCCTAGGTTCCACGCCCATGGCTTCTCATTTCACTGGTCTGAAGTGCAGCCTGGGCTTTGGGATTTTTAGAAGTTCCACAGGTGATTCTGGTTGCAGCCAAGGTTGACAACCACTGCCTACAGGTTACCTTAATGTAGGATTTACAAAAATTCTCAGAATTTTGTCTTGTTGGGCCAGGGAGGGATTTTAAAACTGCTCCCCCAAAAGAAGGTTGTAAATCTTATGATTGAGAAGCTTTATCATTAAAAACAGTTGTTGTTGTTTTTCCCCCCATGCTATTGGTGTGGCTTTTTCTATTACAAAACTTGGGGGAGGAACTTGCTGTTAATATTTAAAATTCTGCATCCAAGAGTAACCTGGGGTTGGGGATGGGTTCTCCACATTCTTTTGGAGACTGATGTTTAAATTATACCAAACTGGGAACTCCTTAAGGGCAGGGATGGGTTCACGTGTTTGTGTACCTCATATCACCTTAACGAAATATCTTGCTCAATAATCATATGTGTAATAAATGAAACTCAAAATTGACAGTTTGTGAAAGGGCTGACTCCATTGTCCTGTAAGCAGTTTTCAAGTTCAAGGGGCGCATGGGTGGCCCAGTAGGTTAAGCATCCGACTCTAGATTTTGGCTCAGGTCATGATGTCATGGTTGTGAGATGGAGCCCAGCATCCAGCTCTCCCCTGAGCATGGAGATTCTCTCTTGGGGCACCTGGGTGTCTTAGTCCGTTAAGCTTCCGACTTTGGCTCAGGTCCTGATCTCGCGGTTTGTGAGTTGGAGCCCTGGGTCTGTGCTGACAGCTCAGAGCCTTGGAACCTGCTTCAAATTCTGTGTCTCCCTCTTTCTCTGCCCCTCCCCTGCTCACACTGTCTCTGTCTCTCAAAAATAAATAAATGTTAAAAAAAAAAAAAAGATTCTCTCACTGTTTCCCCCTCCCTCACTTGTGTGCACATATGTGTGCTCCCTCTCTCATTCTCTCCCAAACTAAATAAAAAAATAAACATTCATGTTCAAAATGAAAGTGGGAATGGAGGAAAGGATTGTCAACTTGGACCTTGACATCTTAGTCCAGACTCCCTTAGAAGTCTGTCTCTGCAGAAAGATTGAGGGGTGCCACTGTGAGACCCCCTGGACAGGTGGTGCGAGCACTTGACAACTTCTCATCTTCATACCTCTTTACTTTTCTAAGTTTTCCTTCTGTATTATGTCATGATCAGCTTGTGGCATCCATCATCATTGCCTGGTTCCACTGGTATTAGTCAAAAAGGGGCTCGCCCCATTTCTAGGTTCTGGTTAGGAATATGAATACAGTAAGAGGTGAACTACTTCCAAGAGCAAGGCGAAGGACAGCTCTGGACAATGGGCCATTTACTTCTTCCGTATAGCGTGTCTGGCCTTGCTTCTGTCATTCAGCTGCAGCAAGTTTTATTTTCCTGTAAGCATTGGTATCTTGGGGGCAATCTCATTTCACATTTTCATGACATTCCATTTGGGTTCTTCTCAAACTGGCTTTCGGTTTTGAATTACAAGGAAGGGTGTAGGTATGTGATGAATATCAGAGAAGATATAACGACAAGACATGAGTTTAGATTTAAGAATTCCAGTTATCTGGGCTCTCCATAGTTGCAATAATAAACTTCTGATGTCCAGTGATTTCCAAGTGGGCGTAGGGGAAATGGAGGCCCTCTGAAGCACATCATTTCATTTGTTCATGTCTTCATTTCCTGTATTCTGAGTTCTAAGTACTTGGATTGAGGCTGGCAAGAGAATAGGGTAGATACAAACATTTGTTTGTTTTAATGTTTATTTATTTTTGAAAGAGAGAGAGAGAGCGTGAGCAGGGGAGGAGCAGGGAGAGACGGAGACTCAGAATCCGAAGCAGGCTCCAGGCTCTGAGCTGTCAGCACAGAGCCCGATGTGGGGCTCGAGCTCATGAGCTATGAGATCATGACCTGAGCCAAAGTTGGACACTTAACCGACTGAGCCACCCAGGCACCCCTAGATACAAACATTTGTATGATAAAGGTCCCCTCCCACAGGAAATTTGCAAAATGGTGGGGGAGCAAAATGTAGACAGTCAACTCCAAAGTGAGGTGGTCAGTGTTAATTGCTCCTGATGGTAAAAAGTTACAGTAGTTGAGAGAAGAATTGGAATCATCACTTCTGCCTGGGCACCATGGGATGAGTGATTTTGTGAAGGAGAGAGTGTCTTTCTGAACTTGAACGGATAAATACCATTGTTTGACAGGGTAGGGTCAGAGGCAAAGGCAGAGAGGCAGGATATATTGTGTAATTGAATTTGATTGGCACACAGGGTATCTAATAGAAGTAAGACATAGGAAGCTGATGAGTACATTGTAGTGAAAAAAGAAGTTTCTGGGATGGCTTGGCTGGCTCAGTTGGTAGAACATGTGACTTTTTTTTTTTTTTTTTACGTTTATTTTTGAGAGAGAGGGAGAAGGAGAGGATCTGAAGTGGGCTCTGCACTGTCAGCACAGAGCCCGGTTTGGGGCTCAGACTCACAAACTATGAGATCATGACCCGAGCTGAAGTTGGACACAACTGACTGAGCCACCTGGGTGCCTCTAGAGCATGTAACTTTTGATCTTGGGGTGGTGAGTTCAATCCCCACATTGGGTATAGAGCTTACTTCTAAAAAATGAAATTTCTGGAAGCACAGTGAACTGTGTGGAGGGGTTTTTGAGCATGAGAGTGACTCAATAAAAGTGGGTTTATGGTAGTGGTACTGTTGAGAGATGTCCCTTGGAGAAGTCAAGTAGAAGTGTCTTTAATACTGACTCCTTAACCATTTTTTTCCTAAATAAAATATTTTGATTCTGGAGCTTGGTGAATTTTTTAAGTTGCAGTAGATGAATTCACACTGAAGTTTCAAATTAGTCTTCCTGTAGATAGTGGGATTGTGTTTTGTTTTTAATTGTTTTATTTTTGTTTGTTCATTTATTAATTCATATTCCAGGTATACAGGTACCTTTTTAAATGCTGGGGTCACAGCAGCAAACAAAGCAGTTAAAAATCCCTGTCCTCATGGAGCTTACATTGTAGTTCCATGCAATATTTTTGTAATAATTTTTTAAAGAACCAAGTTTTTGTTTTTAGGGCTTTTTTGTTGTTTTGTTTTGTTTTGGTCTGTCTGAAACCTTCCTGCACTGAAGTTTAGACTTGGTGTGATAAAGCTAGAAGTGATTTTGGAGATCCACTAATCCAGTCAGACTGTAGTTTAGTTTATTTTTTTAAATGTATGTTTGTTTTTGAGAAAGAGCACGAGCCAGCAGGGAGGGGCAGAGAGAGGATGAGAGGGAGGATCCAAGGCAGGCTCTGCACTGTCAGTGGAGAGCCTGATGTTGATGTTGAGTCTCAAACTCACAAACTGTGAGGTCGTGACCTGAGCTGAAGTCAGGACATTTAACCGACTAAGCCACCCAGGCTCCCCAGACTATTGTTGTTTTAAAAAAAATAGCACTAACATAAGCTTGCTGACTTAATTTTTTTAGGGTAATGGCCTTTAAAAAAATTCTATCACTATCTTTTTTTTTTTTTTAATCAAGAATGACGTTTTCATAACAAGTAGGAAGCTTATAATTTCAAGTAAAGGACAGTGCTTTAAAATGAATACTTTTAGCTTTATGAAACCCTACATGGACCCTATTATTTTCATTTTTTTAAGGATTAGACTCACACGGGTACCTGGTGGCTGAGCTGGGTAAGCATCCAACTTCGACTCAGGTCATGATATCATGGTTTGTGAGTTCAAGCCCCACGTCGGGCTCCACACTGAGTGTGGCGCCTGCTTGGGATTCTCTCTCTCTCCCTCTCTGCCCCTTCCCAACTTGCACACTCTCTCTCTCTCTCTCAAAATAAAAAATAAACTAAAAAGAAAAAAAAAGGATTAGACTTACACAGATCCTTGTAGGAATTTGGGAAGCATTGTTCTGGTTCAGCAACCTCACTTTACTGAGAAGCTGAGTGCCAGCTAAAATGTGGTTGAAAACAAACCAAGCATAGTATAACCTCTGGAATTGGTGACCTAGCCATCAGAAACTATAGCTTTGGTGTATTTATGTGGAGTAAACTGTGACTTGTTGAACCTGTTTAGGCATTGTTCTTTACTACAGGGGAGGAAACTTATGACCCTTCCTGCTTAGGAACCAAACATCATTTACTCCAAAAACACTTAATTAAATAGAGTCTACCACATAGGTCTTCACTTCATAGCTCCTGATTTAGTAGATGTAGGGTGAAGCCTCAAAGATGTATTTTTAAAGAACTCTATTTTTTGTTTGTTTGTTTGAGAGAGAGAGAGAGAGAGAGAGAGAGAGAGAAAACACAAGCAGGGAGAGGGGCAGAGGGAGAGAGAGACTCTCAAGCAGGCTCCATGCTCAGAGTGGAGCCCAATGTAGGCTGGATCCCATGACCCTGGGATCATGACCTGAGCTAAAATCAAGAGTGAGACGCTAACCAACTGAGCCACCCAGGCTCCCCTAAAGAGCTACATTCTGATTTTGTGATTTTGGTGTAACATGAGCCAGACA